ATAAATGCCTACAAATATCTGCAGGGTGGGTGTCAGGAGGATGGGGCCAAGCTCTTTTCAGTGGTGCCCAGTGACAGGACAAGGGGTAATGGGCACAAACTGAGGCACAGGAAGTTCCGTCTGAACATGAGGAAGAACTTCTTCCCTCTGAGGGTGACGGAGCACTGGAACAGGCTGCCCAGGGAGGTTGTGGAGTCTCCTTCTCTGGAGATATTCAAGACCCGCCTGGACAAGGTCCTGTGCAGCCTACTGTAGGTGACCCTGCTTTGGCAGGAGGGTTGGACTAGATGACCCACAGAGGTCCCTTCCAACCCCTACCATTCTGTGATTCTGTGATTCTGTGACTGCTGTCCTCTGCAGGCTCGCAGCTCACAGGTTATCAGCTTTCCTTTTTTGGTGGCGTCACCATGGTGGGGTTTGTTTCCCGGCCTTCTCCCCCGTCCCCACCACCCGGATGTTGGTACCCTCTTGGTCAGGAGGCCAGACCTCCCAAGGAGCGGCCTTCTCCCTGGGAGGCCCTGGCTTTCCCCAGCTCCTCAGTGGGCCTGAAGGTCGAAGCTACCTCAGTCAGCACTTGCCAGCTGATCTGAACCATGTCATTTCTCATCATGGCCTTTCTTCCTGAATTGGCATCTGAGAACCTGCTGTCTGGCCCCGAAAATCTATGTCTTTGACTGACTTAACTCTTTGACACATTTATTCAGATTTTTTCCCTCGCTTTTCAAGGTGCGGAACACAAGAAGGAAGTTGTGGTAGTAGAAGACCTTAAATTTCATGTTGAGAAGTGATCTCACATACCAAATCGGATTCAGGAGTGCACGTAGAGATACATGCAGGAGGCCTACAGACAGAGCTGTAATTTGTGTTTGGGGTCTCCAATAAATCGATTTAAAAAAAATTTGTATATACTTGTAAGTTTGATTGTGGTACATTGGCTCTCTGGGGGTTTCAGCTGAACGACCCACTTGAACTGTGAGGCTGCTACTAGTATATTGAGTCAGTATAAAAGTATTTTGAAGAAGCTACATTTTCATCCTGCTTTCACGGTGCCTGTTTTTGTGTCCATTTCTTTTCAGTATACGAACACGTTCTACCATAATAGGGCACCTAAACAGACTTCTCCAAGCACTTGAAAGGGCATACATACCCAAGTGCAGACTTCTTTTAGGCTGAGCAGAGTTATTAGATGGGTAATTAGCAGCATTTAGCTATTGCTTACTAAACAGAAGTTCAGGTTACTCATCTTGGGATATGTGCCTTAATAATTTTTACAGTTATTTTCATGTTGCTTTGTTTGCAGTACTTCATTTGAAAAGACAAATGGAAGTACTGGAGTTCTTTTGGATTCCTAGCTACGTGATGCTGTTGGAAAATAGAGCATTTCCAGCTGACTTAGAATTTCTGACAGTGTTACCATGTACTAAATATTTTTATAGTGGAGAGCCATTTCGTGGACAAATAAGCCAGAACTGAGATTTGCTCTTTATTTGTAAAACCCGTAAAAGTATAAAATATTGCAGATTTTTTGCATGCTGAAGTTATAACAGAGATGACACAGGTTAGGTACAGACAATGCTTTCTAATTGCAATTGTCCACTTAATAAATTAAAACTCAGTACGATGTGTCATGGTTAATTTCATGTTTTGCAGGTGGTTATGGTGCAACTGCGTTAAATATGAAGCGAGATCCCCTGAAACTCAAAAGCACGGACACTGAATTTCCACTAACACTTGGTCGAGATGTCTCTGGTGTTGTTATGGAATGTGGGCTGAGTGTATCTTATTTTAAACCTGGAGATGAGGTGATTTCACTAAGCTTTTTTCTGAAATGTATAGTTAAAATATACTATGAGATGTTAAGCTTTTTTTTTTCCCTCTTAAGAAAATTCCTTTTTTTTAAAGTTGTCGCACTCTGAATGAGGACTAGAGTGTTTCTTCCCTGCCTTTTTTCTGTGAAAAACGTGGCCTTAACCCAGACTTGCTTCTGCAAGTTCATTTGCCTTCTGTTTTTTACTTTTCAGTCCATTTTAATGGTAGCAAGAGAGGAATTTATTTATTTGTAAGTGCATACTCAAGACGCTGCTTGATTTCTGACTGAAAATAGAATTCTAACAGGAATGGATTAGGGTTTTCTTTTTTTTTCTTGAATAACTTAGGATAGGAGCTCTGGCATAACCAAAAAGCCTCTTTGTGAGTCCTCAGATAAATACTGGTATTGTTTGCTTTCACCTTCACCAGTTGCTTTCATATTTCACCAGTTTTAGAATGGCAAATTCTGATTTCCCTCCCTCTTCCCACCCCCCCTTAATGTGGGTTTTCCTGGCGTGGAAGTACTTGGGGTTTTTTTGAAAAAATTATGTTTTATACACAGAATGGTACAATTTATTTACATAGCACTGTGGTCCATTTAGTCAGTCTTGTGATGTTCTTTGTGTAAAGAGTAAATTAAACTGGTTTCTAATAAGCAATGGTGAAGACATTCTGCAAATGGGAAAAAACATTTCTTTAATGAAGAAAGCTTTTCTGTGTAGGTAGAATCATGTGCAAAGTCACAAAAACTGATAGTTGTTTTCTGTTTGGTTTTAGGTGTGGGCAGCAATTCCTCCATGGAAACAGGGCACTCTGTCAGAATTTGTGGTAGCTAGTGGAAACGAGGTAAACCTTCAAAAACAGACAAAAAACCAAAAATTGTGAAGAATGACATTTTTTTTCTTCTGTGTCTGAGTAACTGTTTATTTATGGTGCTTGGGTTGATTTAGACTCCAGCTAGTTATGAAGGTAGTTGAGAGTGTGGAATACACAATCTGCAGTTCAGTAAAGCTTGTCGAAGTATTCCAGTGTCACGTAGGATCTGCTGTGTGACTTAGATACGATTGATTTTATTTCAGGTGTCTTTTAAGCCAAAGTGCCTCAGTCACACAGAAGCTGCCTCCTTACCATACGTGGGTCTCACAGCATGGTCTGCAGTTCACCAAGTTGGAGGACTGAACCAGAGTAACTGTAGCGGGAAAAGGTAAGTAACTAGTTCTGGTGCTAAAACTTAGTGTTTCAACTTTATACTGATTAGCTGCTTCTAAGACATGTCCAGCAGTGGTGAAGACACTTCTAGCATGACATTCACGAAGACCAGCTGGCGTGAAGATGCTAGGTTCAATCTACACAACTGCTGAGAGAGGCTCCTTCAGAGGGAGACTCAGACAAGGACCCTGACTGAAGTGTACCTAGTCACTTGCTGCTCGCTTTCTCTATGTAGTAACTATATAGAGGTAGTCCAATGTACATCTAGTGTATAGGACTATATAGAGAATTTAAGGATGGCATCCCTAGGAATTTATAGGGATTTTGCCTTTCTGCCTGCTAGGACAGCTATCCAAATGTAATATACTCTCTCTGAGTGAAGATAACTCGTAAAAAGCCCTCTCAACCAAAGAGGTGTGGTTCACTCAGTTCCTGCATGCGTGGGCCGTTTGGAACAGACTGGTTTTCCAGCTTTTTAGAAAAAAATGAGCAGGTGACTGGGTCTCATTTGACCTCTAGGCCAGA